CCCCCCCCCCCCCGAGCCCCATTCGCTCCTTCAGCCTCCAGCAGAAGGCTCTGTTCTTTGTCTTTCACGGCGGTGACCCTTCCCCCAATCCCCGTCTGCCTCTCTCTCCTTTAACACCTAGCCACAATGAAGAGGGGAGGGGGGGGGGGGCATCAATGGCACGAGCCATGTGCGGCAGCGTCGGAGTCGGCTGACCACAGACCGTCCTGTCCCAGTGACCGAAAAGCACACAACACCTGGCGCGGCGTGACAAAGCGCGGCCTTGGCGGCGGCGTGCGTGGCGAATGGCGCTGATCTCTGAGTGTCACAGCAATGGAGCCCGGATCATGTTACCTTTGTCTGGTTCGGTCATGCTCCCTCAGCGAGCGGCTCCGGGAGCACAGCTCCAGCATTTCAACAAGGCCAGCCCTGCTGCTGTATTATTTAAACATCTCTCATTTTGCTTTAATCACAAGCTTTTTTTTTTTTAGGGGAAGGGGGGGGGTTGTTCCAAAAATGGCAGGGCTGTGCTGTTGATGAGAGAGAGAGATGGGGGGCCCTGTCATATCATCACTCCTCGGTGATGCTCAGGCACAAATGTTTATCAGTGAGGGTGGGGGGGGGGAGAAGGCGGCACATCAGTTACAGTAAAAGAAAAGACGGAGTCGAAAAAAGGAGGAGAGGGGGGGGGGTGGGAGAAACATTTCAAACAGCGGAACAGATGTGGCGAACGGGTTCTTTTGTGTTTACGTACCTGTCCAATGTCACCCACCACGCTCCCGGTCCCGTCTATCCGCGGTCTTTTGCACTCCGCCCCGGCCAGGTCTGGCAGGGCAGCGGCGGTGGTCTGGGCGTCGGGCTCCGGGTCTCCGCGCTTCATGCCGCGGACAGCCGCCGGACCCCCGGCCCCGCCGGCGTGAGCCCCCGCGGCGGCCGCCTCAACCTCCCTCTCCCGGTCCATTATCCCCCGACTAACGGGTATCATTAGAGATGCAACGTCGGTCGACATTAACATTGGACGGCAGACAGTCAGAAGTCAAAAGTCTGGTTTTTTTTTTTTTTTTTTTTGGGTGGTTGGCCCCCTTTGTCCTCTTCTCCCGTTTGGATCTCTTCAGAGCCCGATACTCACACCGGACTCGACTATTCCACAAGACGCGTAGACGGACGGTATTGACCAGATTTGCATCAATATGGGAAGCTCGCACTATTTATTGTCTAACTTGGCGTTGGCTATGCGAGGCGAACCATTATGACGATGCCAAGATCCAGCCTAAAGAGCAGCGAAAGGGCAGCTTCTTTTTTCTCCTCCAAAAAGTACAACGACGCTGAACGGTGACCTATTTTCATAAAGATCACTCTCGGATGCCTGACGAGCTAATTAGCTAGCTAACAGGAGCTAGCTTGCTAGCATTACATTCCGCTAGCTCTCCTTATAAATGTGGCTCGGTGAGCACACTCTCTCTTGCCAAGAACAGCAAATGTTGGAAATTAGCTGAGCGAAATGCTGCTTCCTTCTCCGCCGCCAGACAGTCCTCTCTCTCTCTCTCTCCTCTCGCCGCGGTGTGTGTTATTGCATTCAAGTCCTCCGTGGCTCCTAGCAGCCTTCCCCTTGAATTCGCTCCCTTCTCGTCGCTTCCCTCGCCGCGGTCTGCTATGGATGAGTCTTGGTGTGCCGACCTGGCGACCGACGAACACGATTTCCTCTGGTCTGAGTCCCAACTCCGTACGCGTAGAGGGAGCCGCTGATCCACGGTCAGATTTCTCGACGGGGAGTGGGATTCGCGAGGGGGAGTTGACTGGTCTGAGGTCCGCGTTTCCCCAGACTCCTTTGCCTTCTTTTTCCTTACACCCCCTCCCCTCGCCAACACCACCTCCTCACAGCTCCCTCCTCCTCTATCTTTGCTTGTTAAAAAACAAAAAAAATTCAGCCGGTTTCATGCGAACATTGTCGCCCCGCTGTTTCTCTGCCCGTAGACCAGTCAAACAACGCCGGGAATAGGGAGAAAGAAAGGGGAAAAACAAGACTCCCGGTAACGGCATGGGAACACCGGGAGACGTGATACGGGCTTTTGGAATGACCGAAAACTAAGTTCAAAGTCATAGACTAGAGTGGGAATTTATATCACTGTCATAGATCAACATATATCAAATACATCCCATTTTCCCAAAAAGTCAACGTTTTCAGTCATTTTAAATATCTGTCCCATGTGGATACATATTTAAATGAATTATTACTTTAAATAAGTCAAAACGTATAGATGCCTGCGCGTCGTTTATTTGTGCAAATTTTCATAAAAACACGAACGGCATAAAATAATTATAACAAGGCTAATTAGCCCCATGCTAGCCCCTACGGTTTGAAGATGACTTGAGGCGGTGATGCAGGCTTGTCGTTTTTTTATGTTTTAATGCCCTCTAGTGGGTCTTTATTTACAGAACATTTTTAGGGAAAGGCTATCTCATTATCCCTACTGTATATTTCGCCACATTATTCTTTTTATCCCAAATTAGTTGCCTCTCTTTGGAAAGATTTTTAACATCACGGCTAGTAAAGTCATAGCACTAAATTGCTGCTGTCTAAAATAAGTAGGCTGTGTGTGTTTTCTCGCTGCACGGTCTTCCTTTTAGCAATTAACCGTTCGTCTGAACCATTCAAATTGACCCTTGACCCCTAAACCTTTGGTCACAACAGCTTTCGTTTATCCAAATCATGTGACCAGTTTAAAACTCGAACTGGTTTTCATAAAAATGGCTGCAAACAAATGCACTCATGTCATCAAACCCGCATCGATTCCACCCTTTACACATCTGGCTGGGAAAAAAATTATAGTCGTCATTTCTGGCCGACCTTCTATGTGCATGGGTGTGTAGATTTGTGCACGTGTGCTTATGGCTGTTAAACCTGTCCTCTTCTCTGCGTCTCACTCGATCAAGCCTCCTCTTTCTCGTGCTACCTGCCCTTCTGCCACCCGCTGAACCTGCAATGATGGACGGCGGCGGGGTCACATCACTCCACTCTGCTGCCTGTTTTACTGACAGAGCCCGTGCGAGCCAGGAGAAACTATTACTCTCTTGATACAGCTGTACACCTCACACAGACCTGTATGGGTGAGGCCTTATTTTTTACTGCCTATTACAAGTGAGTATATATCATTAGTGGATGGATGTACAGTAGCCTGGACGTACCGTGTATTTCCTAATTTTGTAAGCCTGTTGTAAATCATATGCAGATGCAGAGCAAAGAAAATGGAGAAAAAGGCTGAGAAAATTTAAAATTTGCCCTCCTTTAATCACATTTGGAAATGCAATATAATCAGATCAAATTGAAGCACTTGGAGTCTTGTTGAAGGCTCAGTAAGAATGCCGAGAGGGGAAAATTACCTCTTTAAACTGCTCTAATACCTATTTATTTAGTGGTGATGAGGCTACAGAATACAGATAGAGAGGTGACAGTAAAGGGGAAGGGACTGCAGAAGGTGTAAGACTTATCAATGGAAAGGAAGAAAGATGGACTGTGTATTTCTTTTCAAGTCCTCTCCTGATAGAGTTCAGCTGAATGACTCACAGAGGCGTGAACCAAGCTGTTTCCAAGCTACCAAAACAGAATCCATGATTGAGTTTTTATTTGCCAGTTACTTCTTATTTTAATGTTACTTTGTTATTTATGAAAGTAGCTAGTAGTAGTATCACTAATGATAATCGGTGACTCAGAAATTCAAGTCCCTTTGGATATTATTATTAAGGCATCAATGAATTGCATGCTGCAACTGAACGTGTGATTTAAAAAAACAAGAGGCTGGTTTGTAGTTTAGTAAACATTTAATTTTTTCACTTTTCCCTAGTATATGACAATTTAATATATAGAATATTATATTCCTCTTCTTTAGTTACATTTACAGAAAAAAGTTCTATATGTTATAGGCTTTAGACAGAACTGTTTTGGTAACAATCCAGGGAAAGAACAGACTCAGGACCTCAGAGCTGCATGTGGACCTCACTGATAAGATTTGGCTTCTACAGAAGAGAAACTGTTTAGAGTCCATTCTGAATAGAAAAGGAGACAAGCCATATGACGGAAGGGGTATGAAAATCACTGGCAACTGGCTTTGTGGAGCGCTGAATCCTCCGAGAGACCAGGTCACAACATCATGATAGCATGGAACTTCATCAAGTGCAGAACAAATAGTGCCAACCCAAAGAAGAGCTTTTGGGATGTCCTCCAGGAAGCATAGAACACTATTCCTGGTGAATACTTAAAAAGGGGCCAAGAAAGTTAGCCTAAGAAGGTAAATGTGTTGAACAATCAGAGTCATTGTGCCAAATTCTTACTTTCAAAATAATTGGAAATTGGGAAGTGATGGACCTGGACATTGCAGACCAAGGGGCCATTAAGAAATAGCAATATTAAGTTATATATTTTTTTTAAAGTCACGTGTTGACTTAGGCCCACATTATAGAGAATGTTTTTTTTTAAAGTTTTTAAAAAGTTGATTACTATAAAGTTTTAATGCACTAAAGGGAAATGTATTGAGTTAAAACAGCTTTTCTGTTGTAAAAGGATTAAAAAAATTAAGAGCAGCATAAAACTGCTGGAATTTTTTTAACCCTTCTGTCACATATTTTGGCTTCTGTATGGGACCTGTTTTTGATAAGTAATCTAATAACTAGAAAGTGTTCTGTTCGAGTGATTCTTTTGTTGGAAGCCTTAGACTAAACCAGAGTAGATCAAGAGTACAAATATGATATTTATTGGTCACAAGCAAAGAATATCAGCGCTGGGCTCTCACAGACAAAGTTGCTGGGGGATCTCAGTTGGCAAGAGCCCCGATCTCCAAATGTGCGATGGGCAGTTTTCCTCTGGGCCGGGCCTCGAAAAGGGGAGGACGGCTGGACGTAACCGAATGTTACTGGCCAGTTAGCTCTGACATGAACAGGCCAGAGGCTCTGAATTCAAGCAGGTTTCAGTGAAATATGCTAAGAAAGTGTGTGTGTGTGTGTGAATGTTGACCTTGAAGACGTGTATCTACTGTAACAGAGAGAGGAAGAGGAGGAGGAGGCACAGCCAGAGAGTTTAACACAAAAGTAGAATTCTAAAGGGAAGAATATGAATCTAAAAGGAATATTACAATCAGTCATTTACATGGATTAAGTTGTAGCATGCTATGCTAAAGTGAGTAATTATAGCCCAATTCTAACCGTTTCCTTTCACCTTCTAAGCTGTGCTTTATGAGGCTGTTGTGGTGATTTTATAGGTGATTTCTTTCACCAGTCTGAGTCCTGTACACTGGGATTTTACATGCTGTTAATGGAGCCACCTGTTTCCAGGTTAACCCAAGAAGTTACCGCATGGATTAACCTTCCTATGGTGTTAGGGTCCCGGCGGACCCGTTTTGAGTTTTAACATGCATAAAAGCACTTTATACATTTGTTTTTTGAGTTGGAACTTTTTGACTTTGTCAGGGACTTCCATTTAAACAAAGTAAAATCTTTTTTTTTTTTTCACTAAATTATAAAGTGCTGTGGTGAAAAAAATGACTTTTGTGGTGTTCGGGTCATTTGTGACCCGGTTAAAATTCTCTATTATAAAACAATAAAAAATGCCCAAAATTAAATCATGAACACACAGTCAACCAACAGCCTCTTCCTCCAACCACTTGAGCTTCATTTAGGGGCTTTTCTCTTTGCCTTTTTGCAAGAACAAACAAAGGGAGACATGTCCAGGCTTGTCAAGCCATTTGAGTGTAGAGGTGGTGACTTGCAGAGTACACATCTCCAATTCACAGGATGCAACAATGAGGAGAAGATTAACTGTAAAGGAAGCTTTGGATCACATCTTTGCTGCAAATGAGGCAAAGGACACACAGGATTTTAGCGATGGAGATAAGCAGGCCTCTGAGAACGAAGATGATGTGGAGTACCAATTGGAAGAAACAGACACAACTGATCAGTCTGAAGAGGAGGTCACTGGTGCTGAAGCTGCTCCTGCTGAATCATTCCAATCCAAAAGTGGCAACATCCGTTGGAACACAGTTCCTCCTGATGTGCATGGAAGGACAGCTGCTGCAAACATCATCAAATGACCCCTGGGGTCACGAGGTTTGCTGTGACAAGAGTAAGTGACATCAAGACGTGCTTTGATCTTTTTTTGCCATTGTCACTAAAAAAAAGTCATAATTGCTATGACAAACCTTGAGGGAAAAAAGTCCATGGCAACTCATGGAAAGACATTGATGAGACGTACCTGGATGCCTACATTGGTGTTCTCCTCCTTGCTGGAGTTTACAAATCCAGCAAAGAACACACTAAAAGTGTCACTTTTTGCAACACATGCATCTAAACACACACATACACACACAGGCATGTTCTTTGCACAGAGTATTGATAGAACAAGTACTTGATTTCTTTTGATGTGATTTTCTCGATTGGTTTTTGTTTATTTATTTGCAAATCTTTGTTTTATTGTAATTTATTATTATTTATGACTGTTCTGTTTTTCATATTGTTAAATATTGTTTTAAAGTTCTATTGTGTGGGGAAAAAAAGACTTGTTTTTGCCCTTTTCTTGAGGCAAATATATACAGGTCCAAAATGACCCGAAACACCATAGACGTTACTATATTTGATAATATTAAAATTAAAAATATTTTTTTGTTAAACATTTAAAAAATTAGTTTTAATATCTCTCAGTTACACTCAGGTAACAGAACAACTGATTATTTAGTTGCCTTCTACTCTTAAGGTTCATTTGACCACTTTTATGACATTGAAAACGAGGGGTATGCTGTTAAAACAAAGGCCCAGGGGGCCACAAAAAAATATTAATACCAATCTTTTCATGGATAAGGGAGCCCAACCAGCTAAACAAGAGTTAAGAAAACACTGGATGATAAAAGATTGTTTTTAGGGTATTTTATGGCTGATTTAATACACGGGTCCAAAATGACCCGCTAACACTACAGATGGCAGCAGAAAGCTAACACCAGAGGAAGGTTAACCTGAAATAAATGGTAAACGAGGTCATATGTTGAGGACAAGCTGACCCTGAAGGTGTTTTGGTGTGCAGCGAACAGCAACTGGGTTTTAGTTTCACTTCCTTCGCAGGAGTGTTACCAAAAGCGGATGGTATAGAAACATTTTTGAACGGAAGTCCCGAATTTCGCGAATCAGAACCTGGGGCCTCACGGTTCCATCTTTTCACGTATTTCGGATACTTTTTGCTATGTCGTGGCTGATAATGCTATAAAGCTGCGACATAGGTGTGTAGGTTTTCTTATAAACTTAGTCACGGACGGTTGTGTGGAATTTAGGATTCGTTTCCTTAAGTTTCATCCTTACTCTGCGGTTAACCTCACGCAGGCCAGAGCAACGACTCTGCTCCGCTCATAGGTCAGGTGTCTTGTCAGTCACGCCCGCTGGCCAATAGGAAAACCGAGCGAGGGTGGAGAGGCGGGGCCTGCGTCAGAAAACAACCACGCAGTTATTTCCCAGCCGGAGTCTCAGCGTGTCTCTTGCAACTGCAAACGAGGAAGGAAGGTGCCCTGTTCTCCGTTACAGATACAGGTATTCGTTTATTTTCTCCCTAATTCTAGGTTCTAATCGCTTTCCAAATTGTTTGGGCCGCCCGCCCCTTTAAAAGGACAGTTTAGTCGCTTAATGGGGAATTTACATCTGACATGCTTGGTGACTGCACAAAGTAGCCCGTTTATGTCCATCTGCGAGAGTGGGAAATTTCTATTGTATTTTTTTGATGTATTTTTATTTTTTTTAATTCACGTCTGCTTTTCCACTAAGGAGTCCTGTGCTGAGTCAGTTGCCAGACCTCCTCGGTGCGTAGCCTCAATAAACCGCTGAGCACCATGGCTCTGGATGGATGCGGGCTCCTCTGCAAGTATATCCTCATTCTGTTCAACATCCTGTTTGCTGTAAGTACGGCATATTCTCAACTTTTCTTCTTAATGTCTGCTGTAACCAAGCCTTAGATAAAGAAATAGTGAGGGATAGATAGATAGATTTACTTTACTGATATAAGGTGGGAAATTACAGTGCAGCAAGGGAAGGAACTCAATATTAAAAAGCAGATAAATACTCCCATATACAGAGATATATTAAGAATGCATATACAACAAATCCCCAGGACTAAGCTGGTTCCTCAACTGTAACGGCTGAATTCACCAAACGCTTTCATTTCCGTTCTAAATGTAAATACCAAATGTATTGTTGATGGAATGCGGTTGCACCCTCAGGTTCTCCACCCTGCAGCACACATTATTCGGACTAGGCTTGTCTGAAATTGTTCTTGTTTGCCCACACTCGTTTATTTTTATTTTCTATTTACTATTTACTAGCAGCACCTGTTTCAGGTCCCACGGAAACAATGAAATGATACTTCTAAAGTGTGAAAGCACCATTTTTTTCCTGTTTTTTACGTAACGGATGAGGTTTTGAAACTTTTTTTTTTTTTACCCACAAATGCAGGAGGCCAACTGGTTGTTATCCTGTTTACTCTCTTTCTTTCTTTAGGTGGTGGGGTTTGCCTTTTTGGGTCTGGGCCTATGGCTGAGGTTCAGCGAAAGCACCAGAGGGATCTTCCAAGTAGAGATGCTCAACTCAAGTGCTTTTGTCATTGGTGGGTATACATTCCTGCAATTGATTCCCTTACAGAAAGAAAAGAAAAGCACATCATTGTGAAAAAAAACTACAACATCAGCTCACGGTTGCTGTTTTCTAACTGATGTTTTTCTCTTGTGGTGACTCAGGTGTCACGGTGCTGATCGCTCTGGGCACTGTTATGCTGATTGTGGTGGCATTCGGAGACTACGGCGCCTGCAACGAGAAGAGATCCGCTCTGCAAGTGGTGAGCGTCTTTGTGCGCTTACCGCTTTTTGTTGAAGTTATTTTTTCCACAGCCACGGTTAAATGGCATCAAATCAACAGGAAGTTGTTTTTGGTAGAGAAAAAGAAGTGATAGGTGTCACACAGTTGAATAAAAACTGTCTACATAGAACAGCTAGCACACTAACTGCAGTTTTTGGCATAATGGTGAAAAAGTTTTTCACCATCACCTCTGTTCTTCTGTAATATTTTTTTTTTTTTTGGGGGGGGGGTTGTTGGGCAGAAGCCAAATGACTCCCGCTCTCCTACACTGCAAACCTTGAGAAGAGCCACCGCTAAGTGGGGTGAATGAGTTACGGCCGTGCTCCGTCTGCCCTCGTGAAAAAGGCTTTCAAAACATCAGATAGTTGCAGATTTATCGGCGCTCTCGATCAGTGTATTTAGTTTGGATTTAAGGGGTGGGGCTCAGCCGAGGCGGAGTGGATTACACACTGTGATGCATCTCACCCGCGTGAGAGGGAAAGAGCCAAGCGCCAGACTGCGGTTTGTCTCAAAGAAAGCCGCCATCTATGATGCCTTTAAGATTATGGCGGAAACCACCCCTCAGTGCATTAGAATAATTGTACACGGGCATTCCAAATGTTGTTTGTGTTGTTCCTGTATTACAACTAGAGGCAGCCAGATTTATTTGAGTCGTTGAGCAGCTGGATTAATAATAATCTCTTCCATTCCCCTCAGTTCTCTGTCCTTGTGGCTTTTCTGGCTATTGCTGAGATTGCCGTTGGAGTTTTTGCTTATTCCAGCAGGGACAGGGTGAGAGGCAATTTTATAAAAGCTCACAATCTCCTGAAAATATGCAAGAGCCCCAATAATTCTGACAGTTTTTTTTTTGTGTTTGAATTTCTGCTATTAAGGTTGGGATGAGCATTGGGGAGTTTTACACAAGCTTATACACTCTGTATGTGTCCAGTGGAGACCCAGGCATCGCCATCACTCTCACCTTCTTCCACAACACGGTAAGCAGCCATTTATTCCAGCTCTTCGGGTGAAAACAGGATTTCAAATAATTCAGTTAAAATCCTTCTGTTTTCAAAGCATGCATTCCTACTCAGTGTTTTTATGTTTTTAAATTAATTTTTTTTGTCTCCATTTTTGCTTGCTTCCCTCAGTACTAATAGGTTACTAAATATGAAATGTCAAACCAGCCATCTTATCTGTTTGGGTGAATTAAAATATCTACTTGTCCATTAGACATTTCAGGGGTCATGTGACATTTAATGTCAAAATGCAAGTCTTTAAAAACATTTGTCTAATTTTCATGTGAACATGCATTTAAGATTTTTATTTTAAAATGTTTCTGATGACCCGATAAATTTAGAATGAGCTCAATATTATTAATTCTGACAGAATTTTCCACGATAGCTTTCAGGTGACGTGACAAGAAATGGAAATATTTAAAACAGGAAAAGAAAGAAGGAAGTTGTGTTTTTCAATGTCAGTCTCTATTTCCCTCAATTTTGGCATCATTTAACCAATTTAGTTTAGAAATGTTGAACACTGGTTTATTGACACATTGTGAAATGTCAAATAGGACCGTTAACAGCTCAAATACTTGTCCCCCCTCCTTTAGCTCCACTGCTGTGGAGTGACTGGCGTCTCATTGATTGAGATAGTCAAGCATACATGTCCCAAGCCAAATGGATTTATGGAGAGCATCGTTATGCCGGTGAGTTGGTGCCAAGAAATGAAGCCGCTTCTATTATGCTGCTCACATTCATCTCTGTTCCAGTCTCCACTCTGAGGTCCAGTGAGTCATCCATACATCTAACTAATTTATGGGTGGGCTTGAAATGGGGAGCTGAGTATGCTGATGTAAGACAAGATCTTTATTTGCATAATGAGAAGAAATAGTCCAGAAGTAGAAAAGTAAAAAATGGCACACAGTTCTGGAAAATCTAAAATTGGAAGGAAAATATAATTTGCATTTATTGTGTATGTCGACATACGGAATTATTTACAATGCTGGTAACAGCCAGTTGAGGGGAGTGTTATTGTACCAACTATTCATTTCCATATATTTATACATCTCTACACTAATGCTCAAGAGTGTAAAGCGCAGTGAGTTTGAAATATTGCCGTTTCCGTGGGGCCTGTCCCTGGCAGCAGCGTTCTTTGTTAAGGCTGACAGTTACTGGAAGTAATGACCTGCAATAGCTCTCTGTTGCACACACGATTGATAACGGTTGTTCTGACTGGGTTGTGTAACCCGTTCTTCTTCGCTGCAGACTTAGGAAAAAGGCTTATGCCACAACGGGCAGCTAGTCTGCTCAGTTCTGGCTCATGCACACCTGTCGCCTTTAAAACCCAGCCGATATGCTCCGGGACGAGGACGAGGAATAGGTGGAGCAAAGCCTGTACGGGCACGCGCATCTGTACAGGTGTCTGCATGAGTCATCCAAACACAAAACCATCAATGGAAATAGAGCTGTAAAACCTGTCAAATTTCCTGATCGTCTTAACATATCAGGTACTTTTTGTCACTGGGAAATATCTCCATTAAAAAAATAAACTGCTTTTGGAGTCTGAGAAAGGAGAATAGGCTCTTATGATTTATGGGACAGTGTTGACTGTTTAAGAAATTAATTTTTCCCCACGTAGGACTGTCCTCTTGGGAAAACAAGACTTTCTTTCTTTTTAAGCACTGCGTTTTCTCCCTTTTCCAACAGAATTGTCCTGTGACCATCGTAAAGCTCTTTGACACCAAGGCACCGCTGGTGATGGGCATCTTTATCGGGACCGGAGCTCTTTTGGTAAGCAAATGATCCAATTGTGTTTACTACACACAGACTCAAGTTTTGATCAGCATAACAGAATAAACCAAGCAAACATAGTTCTCACAACCAGCAGCAATTATTTGTTCCTTTAGTTTAGCTTAAAAATACTCCATCACTGGAACGCGGGAAACAAAACAGAAACCTAGAGTTCAGTTTCATGACGTGGAACAAAATGCAAATGTTGGTCAATATGGCACCGGTTCACTGACAGTTGAAAGTCACAGCCACATGAGTTTTTTTTTTCTTTTTTCGGAAACCATTTTTAATTTACAATCTAGTTTCATATTTAATGCAAGTAGAATTTATTTTATTTTTTTTGTAGATCTAATTCCAACAGCATCCTTTAAATTAAAGGGAATACAAGATCAGAACCTTTGGGTTGTTTGTTATTGCCAACAGTTTTTTTAGGTGTAGAGAATAATCACTGCCAGTGTCTTCAAATGACGGCACACATTCTCTAAAATAAAGACAAACAGGAAGTTGAGACTGTCAAGTATTGCCTGTCAAGTTTAGGTTGGCTCTTAGCTCTTGTTTGGAAGTTGATGATCGTGTTCTAATCACTCTGCTCCTGTGTCTCCTGTGTGAATCAATACTCTAAACCCTCTTTTTTGGTCCCTTTTCTCCCTCTCTCCCATGCATTACTTTCCAAAGACCATTGCTCTGATTTGCAGCGCAATCCTCAGTTCACAGATTCGTCAGTCTGCCTCATCTCCTCAGTACATTATCCTGACTCACAGCACTGCTGCAGTTGCTACCCCTCTGCCAGCTCAGCATGACATCACTTCCTATCCCGACCAGGACCCCGTCGTCTTCACACCCCTCTCTGTGGCCAACATCCCTGTGGCTCAGGCCTAGTGTGTGCTCCATAGTTTTAGTCCTCACTTTTGTGCCATTTTGATTTTAGTTCACGACACCGATAGTTTATATATATATAAGTTTATAGAACCAATTATTGCCGTTATTTGGTAGTTGCTTCTTACACCCACTGATTAATGGGACAAATGCTGATTTGTGGTTGGAGTGCTTCTTTTGTAGATGATTTTTTGATAGTTTTACTACTAATGGTCTTTAGAAGTCAAATGTTGCACAGGCTAGGCTTCTTCTTTGGCTACTGGCTGTGGTTTGTTCTTTTGAATCTGCAGCTGACACTGGAAAAAAAAAAAAGGAAAAAAGTCTGTTCATACCGCACTTTCCCCTTTTTTATTTTTAAAATCACTTGTGATTGGAACTGTACCTTTGGCATGTCTTTGTTCGGCTGGTTTGAATCTTATCTCCTGGGACAGTGGAGGATGATGCAGGCTGTCCACTGTACATCTTCGTCCTGTCCCCTCTCTTCACATCCCTTCCTCCTTCTGTTTCTATATGATAGATTACTGCCCTGGTCTGCACCTCTATCCTCCTGAAACAACTCAAGAGACTCCATCAAGACATGACGGCATACTATTCAACTGTGTACTAAAAGGGAGGGGGGGTTGGGGTTTTTACAACCATTACCCCCTCTACCTCAAAGACCATCGCTGGAGACTCAACCAGCAGATCACCATCCTATGAGCTCATTTACAATTCCAGTTTTGGAAGCAACGCTGTCATATCCCCAAAACTTACTATTTGGAAACTTTCCAAGCTTTCATTCTAAGGTACTGTTGTCTGAAAATGTGAAAGCAGCCATTTCATGTCAGATTAATTTTATAAAATCATGTTTTGTTTTATCTTTAAGATTTGATCAGTTCAAGATGGTTTTTACACGTTTTATACTGTTGCATACATAGAAAAGGGAAATGACCAAAAAGAAAAAAAGGAGCCTTTTTCTTTTTTTAAATCCAAGCTGTGAGGTCAAATGGTTGGCTTCAGTTTTTTATAACTTGCAAACTGTTTTAGATTTTTTAAAAAAAAAAAGGTGATTCTATAAGGGTATAGTGCTTGTTTTGTCTGTGAAGTTGCCTTCCATTTAAGTCCCTGTATTTTTTAAACATGTTTTAATGACCAAAGGACTGGCCAGGAAAGTACTGTTAGACATTTCCGAATTGACTGCATCCATATTTGTTTCAGAGCCCTTTGGGTCTGTAAGCAATTTTCAGGGGTGGGGGGACCCATTTGAAAAAAATAAATACACACACACACACAAGCTAATTTCTTAAGATTTCACGTCACCATTAAAAAGCTATTGATTTTTGTATTCTTTTTGCTAGCCAACAACTGGGCGCCTTGAAAAGCTTGTTTCCCCTCTATGTACTCCTGACCATTTCTTCACTCTGTAGAACCGCGCTCACAATATTAGAAATAAAAAATACCATTGTTGGTGACTTGTGTACTTGTTTCTATTAAATGACTAACCCAGTTGCAGCTGTGTGAAAGTGTCTTTATTTCATTGCTCTCACATCACTGTTGGGCCCTGTGGGAGAACAATAAGCGATATAAAAGTCCAGAAGGAAAAACTAAGATTCACATTTACCATCTAGCATTCCTACAGAGTTTTATGTTCATGAAAACGAGTACTAATCCACTTTTATTTGTGCGACTGTAGTAATATCTATATGAAAAATATTAAACCATTCATTTATGTGACAAATAGCAGGTTTGGGTAATTTATGTCAATGATATCAAAAAGGGCTAAATTGATCCCAAAGGTACTCAGTGGGAGTTCTTATCTTACCTTTAAGACAGCCTATGCTGCAGTCACCAACACTGGAGCATGTTTCTGTCAGGCATAGGAAGTAGACCTGCGATAGGCAAGTGACAGGAAAATATCAATATTATTTACAGGTATGGTTATATTAATCTGCACGTTATCGAGTTTGAACAGTGCCTCAATTGCAGATTGCAGTAGTGGTTAACTTTTGGGTTTCAAGTGGGAGGCACCTCTGGGTCTTGTGTGAGAGAGTATCCTCTGTGAGTCGTGTAGATTGAACTTTCCAAAGGAAGAGAAGGGAAGCTGGTAATTTTAATCCTCCGGATGTGGCGAGTGTCTGGGGAAGGAAGCAGCTGCGAAAACTCCAGGCTGGAACAACTGAACACCATAAGAGCGATCGGCTTTACAATAGAAAATCTTTGGACTACTAACAATGGCATATTCTAATTTAGGATTTTGCCACTACATCCCAATCCAAGAGTTAATGTGGATTTCTAGTCAGAAACCAGCAAATTAAGATAAACTGACATGAATACAAAAAAAATCTGAAAACAGCAAGTCCATTCATTGAGATCGTTTACAGACAAGATGAATCTGTAAACCTAGAGTTTACCCAAATATCTGTGTACAAACGTACCCATCATAAAAAAGGATCCAGCTGACATAGGGAGCCAAAGTGTAAGCTAGGCAGGAGTGAACCAGCAGCACCAGGTTGGGTGCCGAGGGCCCCAGCAGGCTCAGCTCCACGTACACTGGTTTACTCTGTAGGACGCTCAGAGGCAAGTGAGCCTCAGAGTAGTAGCTGGTGAAGGAGCCGTCTGTGAAAAATATTGAAATACAAAATGAAGGGGGAATACCAGATGAAAACGTCAAGATAAAAAATAAAAAAAGATATAAAGTCGCGAGATGTCACATTTAAGACTTGGAGTGAGAGAAAGAAAGTGGAAATACCTGTTGCAATTCGAAATAGCACAGTGACAGGGGCTGGTTTTGGCTGGATGGGGGGCTGTGGCAGCTGATCCATCATATGGAACCTCACTTCACCTGGGGTATCTGGGGAGGAACTACATCCCACCATCAATCTGCAAACCCACATAAGCAACAAGTCCACGTTTGAGATGGAGCGCCTCCAAAACACACTGAACAGCACAAAAAAGGCAGAAACCTTAATAAATCATGTTTAACGTGAACAAAGGAATGTAATTTTACCTGTCTAATGTATTTTTATATAGATCTCACTCACAAGCCCCACACTGTGGTAGTTTAGGAATAATCTTGTGACAACATTCATGTTATTTCTTTGTGCTGGCTCATGTAAACAATAAACTAAAAAAGTGTGCGATTTTACTCAAACAATGCTCGTCACTTCAAAAGGCAACATAACACAAAGAAACAGGAGCTTTAAATATATCCCCCATTAAAACAGTTTTGTCTTCCAAATACCTCTGGACTGCCTGTGTTTTTTTTTTTTGTTCTTAAATTTACTTTAACTCCTAACCCATTTTAGGATATTTGAAATATGTCAACAATACAGCATAAGAAAAGTGCAAGATGATTAAAAGACAACAGCATATTTAAAATAACAGATTTTCTACTAATGAAAGCTGATCAACACCAACGTAAAATTGTCTGAACAAAAGCAGTACAAGTTCATTTGCAATGAAAATGTTTCCCTGCAAAGGATATTTGACCCACTGAAACAGGAGATGCTGTCTCTGGATGAGCAGACGTACCTCACAGGAGAGATCCCGTGTGCAGAGCCGCCCTCTTTGTGTGCCTGCATGCCTTGGACTTCTAAAAGATGTACCATCGTCTGACCAAACATCTAACAGAAGATGTGTCAAAATATTTCACAAAGCACCAGCGTGATCTGTCAGGTTAGCCTCAACTACGTAGAAGTGAAGGGTCAAACAAAGTGTCACAGTCTTTGCATTCGTAAAATTAGAAGCCAACATTTCAGAAGCATGGTACAAGGAGATTTATATTCACTAAATTACAGGAGGCAATAAATTCTTTCTTACTCAGAATTTAAACATTTTTACCCTGTACTTTGAAGATGGGTAATCAGTCAAGTTACTTTGATGATATATTTTGCATAAGCTTTGCTTCCCCTGAGGTCTAGTTAGAAAGTGTGTCTCACATGTTTGTTTACTCCACAACCGTCCAAGGGTACAATGTAGACGTCAAGGTCTGCGGCCAGCCTGTGCAGCTTACAGGACGCATTGCTGTCGTCAGAGGACAGCGCAGGAGGGACAACAGCGGGCTTCTCCACAGAGTCAGGCATGGCAAAGACAAAATACTGCCCTACAGCACCATCTGTTGGCAAACACATACTCATTCTTGATCAATGTTCTTGGGTGTTGAAATTGAATGATGAAACAGTATGCATGTGTATACATCTCTTCTATAAAAATAAGTACCGAGTTGGAGAGAGACTCACCTTTCATCATGTAAAGACAGCAGCCCATTGGACGTCTGCAGTCAGCTCCAAGGCCACAGGATGGGACAATGTTTGGATTGGCTAAAAGAATAGAACTAATTATGCAAGTGTATATAGTTAATCGAGTTAAATAGCAGGCTTTAAAATGATCCACTTTATGAACCAGACAGAAAACCATTACTTTACCATGACAGTTTTCCATCTATTGAGAATAACAGGGATTACAGGGAAAAAACTAAACAAAAACATTTACCTCTCATTTTATCGTTCAGCTTCTCTTTAGCCCCATTTCTGCTGTATTGCTCAAAATAAGGACCATGATTCCAGAGTTGCTGTTGCCGAGTACTGTAGTGGGAATACAGGCTTTGGAGGGGATTGAGCAGTGACGGTGGGGTACTGGGAAGCCGTGCCTCAGAGGAAGGAACAAACCACTGCTTCCTGCCAGAGGCAAAGTTTGAGGGATTTTTCGATTGGGCAGTTCCTTTATCAGAGATTTTACTGCCTGGTTTCTGTTGCAGATGGTTGTTATTGGACAATTGAAGATGGTAGGGGTAATAATAATAATAGTAGTAGTAGTAAGGATGCAAGATTCCAGTTTGAAAATCATGCATGGATTTTGTGGGTGGGGTGGTGGTCTGATGCTTGAGATGGGACAGATGCTGACCGGAAGAAGACGTCTGAAGCAGAGGATTGACACCGTTTGATGGAGCCGCATGGTTTTTTGCTCCAAGCAATCCTTCAGGTCCGTAATACATAAGATAATAGTTGTAGTAGGGGTTGTAGTAGTACTTGAATGGATCAGCATTATAGATGAATCCTGGAGTGGGCAGTGAGGGATGCTCAGAGGGGGGGACGGCGACAGGACTCGGCCTGTGAAGGACTGGGGCCTGCACAGCAGGTTCCAGAGCTGCGGAACGTGTCCTGTTAGCATCCTGCTTCTGCCTGAAACGGGACAAAGGGCCGTCAGTTCCATCAACGTTTGCCGTATTTGTGTGTAGATTCATGCCGTGTTGGTCATGTCCCTCAAGTACTGCTGAATTATGGGACTGGACATAGGACAGATTTGACATTTCTTCCAAGTTTGGATGTAGAAGACCAACTCTTTTAGCCTCGCCTCTAACAAACTGTGGGAAATAATAGAAATAGTTGTATGGAGTGTCAGGTGCATTGGGTGCAAAAACATCGTCTGGAAAATGAGGATTTGATGGGACGATGTAGGGATAGGAGGTCGTTTGAGGTAAAATCTTGTTTGATGCATCTTTGCTGGAGCTCTCAGACTGTTGAACGTTTAAGGTCAAGGATGAAAATTGATCCTCATGCGAAA